ACGTCATGTATGAAGCGGGCTCTTTAGGACGGCTGGCGTTCTGGCTGCTTTGGGGGGTCACGACGAGATTCATCGCGGGCGTTGCGAGGCCGGCGTTGTCGTCGTTGTATAGGAGCTTTTATTTCTTGTTCTGGCAGAGCGGCTACTTCTCCTTCTACTTCAACTTCAAACTTGACGATGCTTGTGGACGGGTATATGTGTAATGAGACGAGAACGAGAACGAGAACGAAAAGAAAACGAGAACGATTCTGGTATACGAACTGACTGACTGACTGACTGAGATACTTACTCGGCTTGGCTTGGTTTGGCTTGGTTTGGCTTGGACTAACTACGCATGCTAACGCTGGATGGATGTTTGTTACGAAACGAGATGATGGATGCGAGACGAGATGAGATGGCAAAACCCAAACCATGGAATCCAGTAATTAATTATAGTATAGATGAGAAAAGTACGATTTGTAATTGTCGAGTTTGTCGCTTCTTGTGCGTTGTTTAAGTTTAAGGTCGAGTAATAGGTAATATAGGACATTCTCGGTTGAGGAAATGAAATGAAATGGAAGATGCGATAATATTCATTTACCTATGCTTGGTCGGCATCGTGATTGTGCCAATTACCAATTTTCTTCACCTATCCTCACGTTGTAGTAAATCATCTTTATGTAGTAGCTATAGACTACCTGTAAGTGGACAAAGTCATCGATTCTCTTCTCTTTTAGTTACGGCTCAGCTTTCCCTAGCCACCTCTCTCTCTCATCCAAGTCCCCAAGCTGGACAGACAGCCAGCAAGGCATTATTTACTAGTTAGTTGCTTACAGTACCCAAATATGCGCACCTCTAATCCAGACAACTGAACCCATTATGCCGGGATACCAAGTCTTTGGCAATTCTTGATATGGAACTGTATTTGACCCTCTAGACTCGCACCGCTTAACAACTTCCGACGCGAGCTCGATTATCGGCCATGAGATATCCTCTTGGAATTATTTCTATACTTTGTGCTGCATGACTATCGACTACGCGCAAACCTATTGCGCAGAGAGTTCGTTTAGTTTTGCTTTCTCGTTCTCATTTAACTGGTTGTACCATTCACCAAAACCGGCGATGTTATCGCGCGCTGCTGCGAGGAAGAATTCTGTGAGGTACGCTTGCGTTTCGTCATCCCGACGGCGCATATTGTTGGCCTCTAGAAAGCCCATTAGATCGTTCTTGACGCTACCAAGGTTGAGGTCTAATGTGTCTGGGTCATCCTCCCAGCCATCGTCGTCGTCATCATCAGCAAACTCAGCCGCAGCAGCCGCGGCCGCGACATTAGCAGCGCTATTCGCACCCGATGCGGAGAGAAGTTCTTCAATTAGAACCTTAAGGATTTTTAAAGGAGCAGGGATTGCGGTATATTCGTCTGGGGCTGGGTATCAGTGAGCAGTAGTACGTGAGGGGTCCGGAGAAGATACTTACTTTGCCTAGCACGGGACCTTGTCATGATCATACCACGCGCCTGTGTGATCAGGTCACCCTTTACCGTCGTCTGGAGAAGTCGGGGGTCATTCAGACTGAACAACTTGGAGAGAGCGATGACACTATTTTCAAATTAGTAAGGGCGGGGCTTCAGTCCAATAGCTTTTACTTACTTCTGTCTAATTTCATCATATCCCGCAAAATTGACGGAATTTTCCAGCCACTTTCCTAAGACGACCTGTAGGCCACTCTGGCCATTGATCTGAATCGTGCTGAGGAAGTCGACAACGTCTCGGGCACCAACCAAAGAGAGTCGCGCAAAGACTAGAATGAGGGACTGGATAAACGCAGCAGAATCGGCCGAGGCTAATCGGTTGGCAACCGCCTGTAAGAGTTGCGGTAAGAATGGACCGAGTCGCTCATGGCCTGCTTTTTCAACTAGCTCGGCTGCAAGACCACCGACTTCGGATGCCGCATTGTCCTCAATAGATGGTCCGAGCAATCGGTCAATGATATGTAGACAAACCTCAAGGCCGGATCTATTATTCTCGTCGTGGTAGTTGAGTACCTGCTCGTGGTCGTGCGCCAAGAGATATTTGACCGATTCAGCACCTGGTCTTAGGATATCACCCTCGTTACTCTCCATAAGTAGGCGGCTTAACTTAGGTAAGGTAGCCGCTACAAACCCAGGAGGTAAGGGTTCCGAGGCGTATTGAGTAAGGGCGGCCATCAATTCGGTAGCAAACTTTAAGACTGGTTAGCCCTACTAATGAACTGGACTGCAGGAAAAACTCGACGATAAACTACCGGCTGGGAAATCCGCTAAACTTACCGTAATGAGTGGGTTGTCTGAAGTAATATCAGCAACGTTGAATGCGCCATTCAGCGTAGGGAGGACTTTTTGGCAAAGCGCTTGGTACGAGACTGGGTCTGGCATTGTCTTAACGATGTCTTCGAACTCTTCGCAAATGAGCATAGTGACCTAAATGCCAGTAGAAGTTAGCACTACCAACGAATAAGACATATACTCGGCAATATGTAAAAGGGATTCAGTAATTTTACAAGACCATTTGATACATACCTGCCAATTGGTTGAGCCATGTTTGGCAATGAGGAAGAGTAAATCCAGGGCGGGGACATCGTTGGACACAGCAACTCGTTTGTCGATATTGATGGCAGCCCGAAGGGTTTCCGTAAGTGTAACAAGCAAGTCATCCGCCTGTTCAAGGTCGGACATATCCCTCGCAGACATCCATTGAGAAATAGCGTTGACCACATTTGCTTGGACCCCTCGGTTATCGGCAGTCCTTCCACCCTGGAGAAATCCCTCGACCGCCTTTATGCATGCAACCTGCACAAGCTCGGACTGCTCCGCCGCAATAGCCTCAACCGTTCGGTCCAGGAGTGCAGCTGCTACTCCGTCAAACTGAGATAATACTCCAGCAACTAGATATCCACGACCGCGTAGCAACGGTTCCCCGGGACGGTTAATAGCATAATTTACGAGTTCAAGATACGCTTGGCTGATCTCTTGAGGGATAGTCTTACTACAGTCCAAGAAGTCGTTCAGAAGCTGATTAAGTAAGTATAGAGCAGCTTCCTGTCTTCTCCACGGCGCATCCTCGACAAAGAGACTCTTCGTATAAGCAAAGAGGCCTTCTAACGCCTTCTGGTTCAACCATTCACCGAGCTTGATTAGGAGATCTCCGCAAGCAGTTCGTGGAGTATAATTGGCGCTCACGGACTGCTCCTCTGCAAGGTAGAGGGAAACATCTATGTCCCACAACTCTTCCTCTTCTCTGGTGATAAGAGCATAAGAAATAGCGAGCCTCATGATATCCAGTACCCATGGTGTCTCATGTGCAGAAGGGTGGGCCGCTAATTGGGCTAATAGCTCCTTGCGAACAGGTGGGGCTCGCAGGCAACCGTTCAAGAAATCTAGTTCCTCCAGAATAAGGAAATCTAGGGTGTAGGGAAGGCCATCAGAGTCTTCTAGCCTGCCTTGAGCATCGTTCTTGATATATAGCTCCTCGTGCGCAGATTCGAGAAGCAACAGTTCTTCCCAGACGGCCTGAAAGAAATGTGGCGTCTCGGGGAGCAGGAGGCTTGGGAAAACGTCCTTACACTTCAGAAGACATTTCACGACCTGGAGCTTGAGAGCGATTATGCCGTTCCACGTATCAGGCTGTACGGTCGACTGCGGTTCGAGGACAGGGAGCCTCAGCTTCATAACCTGATGGAAGAAAGGAAACCAACCCTTCATTGCCTCTTCGGCAAACGCCTGCACTTCCTTCGGGTGCTCCTCCTTGACAGTATCCATGAGGTCAAAACAACCGCGAAAGACGGAGACGGCAAGAGCGCGCAAGGTGGGTTTTCGGCCTTCATTGATGGCGGCATCGTATACGACCTTAACTATATCTCGTGCCATAGAGAAGAATTGGTCATCACTGAGGCTTTCGTCAACCAGATCCCGGAGAACCCTCAAAGCACCATGGAGCTGGTTATCGTTTCCATTCGGGATTATCTCGAGCAAGGTAGGAAGAAGCGACGGCCATAATTCGGGGAAGTCGACATTAGCAATTTTGCCGACCGAATAACTAATTAAATTGTCAGCAATTGTTGAAATAGCAAGGTAAAATTAATATGCGCTGGAAAATAGCTATTTTACAAGCATAGTAATAGGGATTGTAAGACCGATGCATTATGCTTTATGTATAAGGCTTTCGTACCTTGCGGCCGTCTTGATCTTCCTATCATCCTCCGAATTCAAGGCAAGATCAAGAACTAGAGGTCGGATCTGATCTTTGACAGAATCGGCAATTGGAATGGCGGGGCCATCGTCGTTCTCCCCGCTCCAGTTTCTCTCGATGAAGAGTCGCAAAGCAGACAGGGCAGCTTGTCGGATTTCTACCGCAATAGACGTATGTCGGGCAATGTTTGCGAGAGATAGGGGAAATGCGGGATTGCTGGCTGCATGCTTCAGGTCAAGCTCGGCCTGCTTTCTAGGACCTTCGGCTGCCAACTGAGTGTTGGCGAGGACCTGGACGAGTTGGTCCTCCATTGTCGGCGCTCGAGTTTTGTCGCCGATCCAGATAGTTAAAGGTTAAGGATGTTATTGAACAAGCTCAAATATTATTATTGTTGTTGTCGGCGAACAACGTGGGACGTGGGATGTGGGGTTTATGTGGTTGAGATAGTGGCTTCGATAGTTGCCTCGACAGAAATGTTTCTATTTTATCTGAAAGCGGTCAAAATAGTTGCGGGACGGAAGGTGGGACAGCCCGCAGTGTGACGACGATTTAAATGGGCAGGTGCGGGCAAGCAGAGCACTGACAGGGGCAGCAACTGCTTAATTGCTTTAGCAGTCCGATATCACCACAAAAAGTTAGCGCGACGCGTTGGTAAAAAGTGGTGTTGATCCCCAAGAAAAGTTCAAGTGTGGAAAATTATTGGGTCATCACATCACATAAATAAACATTGAATCACATAAATTCTAAACTTGCAACATCAACATTGGAGACAGGTATAAAACAACTTAGATATCAGGTACGTCAGGTACATCAGGTACAAATTATTAAATGTACCTTCTACAGGTAGGTGGAAGTACATAAGGTACCTATCAATGTAGGTACGAGGTACGATACATGCATGTACCTACTGTCATTAACGGGACCTAATCTGCTACCTAATGCAGGGCACTTGGTGTCACTTAACTATTTATTTTAACGGGAACTCTCACCAATCAAATAAACAAACGTACCTGCTCCCACTTAACGCGTCTTAAATCTTGAAATCCTACCCCTCAACGCGTCTTCTATATGTATATTGGATTAGGTACCTAGGTAGCTAAGTACTTGCCTAAACCACAGGATCTTGCGCCAAAGCCATAAGCCTCCAAGGGGTGACGCTACCTATACCTAACTCCTTACAACAATGGCCTCGCTACAAAGCCAGCAGCAGCCTCACGAAGAGCAGCAATCAGTACCTCTCAGCCAAGCTAACAACCTCTTAACTTCATTCGCCCAATTCCTCACAATTTGCATCCACAATATCCTCTACTACCGCTCTATCTACCCAGCTCAGACATTTCTCACCAGCCGAGCATATAACCTACCGGTCCACCAGTCAAGACACCCGAAAGTATGTTCGTGGATCCGCGACGCCGTAGATGCCGTAAAGGGGCAGCTCGTCCTAGGTGTTGTGGAGCGCATTGCTGTAGTCATATATGACGGACAGGCGAGGGTAATGGAACGATGGATGTTTGATGTTGCCAACTTCCCCGCGTGGAAAGGCTTCAAGGAAGCAAGGGGACCAAGAATAGAAGAAGAAGAAGACGAACTTGTCGAAGGGGCCGTCAACGCTGAGAGCGGCGTAGAGGGAAAAGTAAATTGGGCAAACGTGGACGAACAACTACGTGCTACTGTGAGGAAGCTAGCATATGCTGCTGAAAAGATGACACCGCTTCCAGATGGATGTACTTTCACTATCGCAGTGGAACTACGAGATGAAGGTGAAGCGCCAATAGGGGTAAGTGCTTATAATCAATATCCCGGTTCGAAATATCAATTAACAAGAATTAACAAACATTAGCATCCGCAACCTTGGATACCCTCACAATCCAACCTACAAACGAGATCTAGAGACAACCCAGTACCTGGTCAAGATGTTGGAGGAGCTAAGACGACTCCCCTCCGTGCAGTAGAAGCCGGGCCTTTGTTCTTTGAATGCTGGGTTGAAGAAGGCAAAGCCAAAGAACAATTATCATCTCCCTCATCAAGCGAATAGAAAGTCACGTCTCCATGCTTTAATGCTATTTGTTCAGTGTGAGTTGACGTTATTTTGGAAATGTTATATTAGTATGAATAATGTGATACTGTAGTCCTGTCGTGGTAAGTCTGGTATATCAGCATTCTTGTTTCGACAATCTTCTTGAAGCGACCAGTAATGATAGCAAGGGCTTAGAATTGTACAGTCCAGTAATACAAATCCTTTTCTGTGGATGTCACACCTTCGCCTAGCCGCCTGACAAATTCAATTCTGGCTGATCGACCAGTCCATTGTGGTGCATTAAATGATATCTCCTCCACCAAAGCCACCAAACCCTCCTCCCGGCCTGCGACCTCCCAGCCTTGGGAGGCCTCCCGGACCTAGAGGATCATAGCGAGCTCCCGGTGGTACCTGAGGGTCAAATCCACCATCACCACTGCCAGAGCCTCCGAATAGAGGATCATCAAAAGTTGGATGCATGCCTTGACCTCCACCGGGTCGCGGCAGGCCCCCTCCGATGCCTAATCCGGGACGTAGCGGATCATGCGGTCCTAACCCAGGAGGATGCAGATCATCAGCCCCGATATTCCCAAATGGGCCTCGAGGAGGCTGTCGTAGCGGAACGCCCGACGGGCGGTTTATATCGTAAGGGTCTTCGAATTCCGGTGGTGGAAAATCGCCGGCCGGAACCGGGTTGCGGGGCGGTGGATTCAGAGGATCATTATACGGGTACGGCTGTGCCGGCTGGGGTAGTGGATCCGGTATTACAGGCTGTCTTGGCGGTCTTCGACCCGCTTCGTCGGCATCGTCGCGCGCGGCTCTATCATCAGCAGATTCCTCGTAGCCTTCCTTCTGAAGAGAAGGAATAAGTTTTTGGACGATGTTGATCTTGATTAGACTAGCCAGGTCCTCGATGCGGCTTCTGGAGATGAAAACATTTTGTAAGGTCTGTGGTAGGTTGGAGCGATCCTCTACGCCATCGCCATCGATGCTTATTCTGACAGGAAGAGCCGCGTTAGAGATGAAATCCTTGAGGGTGACTTCGACGCGTGCAATACGTTCGTCGTAAATACCCAAGCCGCGGATCTCGGCTTTGCCTCCCATTCGATCGGTTTTGATAATGAAGTGAAGGGCTGATTGCTGGTGCGCATAGACAAATGCATAGGTGTTGAACGACGCATTCCAATTCGGCGGAAGCCGCGGAGCTAGCTCATGGCATTGTGCTTCTATTAAATAATGATTAGTATCATTTAAATCGTATAAGCTAGATATATAGGTACTTACCTTCAAGTTTAGTTTCATCGAAACCCAGGAGACGGAATCCGAGGGACGCCATGCAGGCGTGGGCAAATAAGGCTAGAGCCTCATGGGAGCTACTCAAATCAGATGTAGTGTCGCCTTGAGGATGAGTAGGTAGAGCATCGGCCATCTGCTGAAGGATGGCCGACGAGCTTAGAGGATTAATCAGCATGATGAAGATAAGTTCATCCGACGCGAAGCTTATGGTTTAAAGTTATTTCTTGAAGCTTCACATTCGATGTTGTAAGTATTAGTATGTAGGTGTGAAGAAGAATTATTTTAGTGGTAAACTGCCGAAATCCGAAGAACTATTATATATACGGATTCGCCGCTTCTCTTTATGTCATTGCGTCGTTGCCTTCAGCCCTACGAGGTACGCAATATGTACTAAAGCGGAGTTTGACACGCGGGGTAGCTTTATCTTATCGGAGCTTACTCATGCTTGTATGAGATATATTACCCGTTTATTCACCATAGAACTTTCAAGAACAATCTAGCTAGGTAGTTGTTATAATTGTTTCTCGGTGAACAGGTATATATTTTTTACGTTTCGCTTTTTTACAGAACTAGCATATGATCCTACCGCATTTATAAATTCTCGAACTAGAGATCCAGGGAGATCGAGGCTGACTTAGATCAAAGAGTTAACGTATCTCGCAATTTTCTAGAGAGCACAGTACAGTAAAGTGCGTTTAAGGAGAGCGGTTTACTGGGAAATTGGGTTAATGTTATAGGGTTATATTCTTCGCTATAGGCTGGGTACCTTAGTTAGCTTCCTTGGCCATTGTATTTTGTTGGGTTGTAACGGGGAAGAATTCCAAGACGTAAAACTCAAGAGCACGCCCAGTCGCGGAACCTGAACACCATGTCGCGGCTGTTAAAGCTGGGGAATCGTCAACGTTCCGTAACGCTTCAAATGAGAACCAACTTCCGAGTGTCCACGTTCTCATTTTGGACCAGTGAAAACACGTCTAGGTCATATAGAAAGCAGTCCCCGATAAGTTCGTAGGTGTCGTCGCCCCTGGCTCTCAATACAAACGGGTACTTTCCGCCAGGAATAAAGACCAAGTCATCACCCTCTCTCGCATGCGGCGGTGCAAGACCCATCGAGCCTTCATCAGTAATGAAGAATTTGCGTCCGTAGGAAGTCATTTCCATCCGGCGAGCATATTTCATCAAAAGCCAATTGCTAGCTCCGTCTCCTGTGCGCGTCGAATTGGCTTCTCCCAGCACGCCTGCACCGTATTGCCCATACCACGCATGAAACTCATCGGCTGACGGCGATGTTGACGGTCTTGACTCTCGGATATACGGGGTCTCGTCTTTTTCAATTAACAAATCAGTACGATCGTCTCCAATGAGAGTATCAGCAAAGGCGTCAATGATAGCCTGCGGAAATCTCTTATAACTCAGGCTCAAAGCGAGAGTTTCCCATTCGGACAAGATCGAGCGAAATTCCTCGCCACCAACAGCAACGCTTACTCCTAGCTCGCTTCCTGTTTTCTCAATTTTCTCGATGAGATGTCCGCGGATCGCTAGAGCGCCATCGTGTCGAAATTCAAAACCGGGGAGCACCAGGATTGGATAATGAATGGAATATATCGCCGATGCGCTAAATATCCTTGGTAAAGTACCTATGGGGTTGACTATGCTATAGTCAGGAACCCATGACGGAAGGCCATCGATGCATTTCTTCTGCGACCCTAACCAGTGAAGGATCTCGAGGGTTTGGCTTGCTTCGATGACCTTCTGTGTGAAGTTCCGGAAAAGATGGACAAGGTCTTGCGTATAGTCGATAGGAATATCAAACTGTATACCTGTATCCAATACTAGGGCGCTGAATATCTTATCCCTAGGGTCGTGAACCCGACCATGCCGGTTCCAAAGGAATACGTTCCTCAGTGGCACTAGATTACCGCGAGAAAGTTCCCAAAGGTGACGTAAATGCGTTCGGCCATCTGGTCCTTCTAACGGATGATAGTAGTCCGCAGTCCCCAAGAAGTCGGTACACTTCATCAGGTCCGGCCATTCACCCTGATGACGGCCACATAGGATGATAGCTTTATTCGTCAACGCGAGCTCTTGAGCGGATTGTGTCCTGTAAAACCATGACCTTTGAGATAGGTTATGAAAGGCGACCGCCATTTCTCCCCGATATCGACACCAATTTATATGTCTATGTTCGCGACACCTGTCGAGATGCTCAAACACAAGGTGTGAGTTATTATTGGCGTTTCCAATCCACGCAAGGAGGCCTGTTGCGCCCTCGTATATGCCCTTTAGATAAGAGGGCTGGGTATTTTGATCCTTTCTCTTTAGTTTCTGGTTGATGCAGATAGCATCCAGCCAAAGGAATCTCGGTCGATCTTCCAATCGGACTCTACGTAGCGCTAAATAAGCCTCGGATGGGGCATCGAAAGTCTGCCCGTTTAGAGATATAGGTACTTGTGGCCCTGTTGAGCTTTGCCAGTCGCAAGAGAGAATCTCATATTGGTGATTTTCGTTGCTGTTCACATGTAAGAGCTTGCATCTTATTGGATCCTGAGGAAGAGACGGTTCAAGTTCTAGAAGCCTTATGGCGTCATCTCGTAGAGGATCATAGTGGAACTGGGAGCCAGTTTCCTCGACCCAGGGTATTATTTCATCGGAGAAGCTAGGAAGGTGGTTAGTTGACTTTGATGCTGCCATCCCGAATGTCCTTTTCAGTAAATAGAGACTCTCCTCTGGTCTTATTTGATTAAAGGCAGCGTTAGTGTGGGTACGAGTGTTGCTAAAGTTTCGTTTCCGATTTCAATGACGAATGGCTCTTATGAATATAGTATGTGTCTATTGATTCGCATTACCGCGGGAAGATAATCGTTTTAAGTTCGTCCCTACGCCCGGCTTCTATCTGGAAACATGACACATGTTTGTCACTTTGCAATTTATATAACTAACGTCTTTGTAACCTTGGCTGCTTGTGAGTTAATGAGCGGGGAAAATAGTCTTGACCCCCTGAGCCTCCTGAGAATTTTCACGTGACAATCGACGTTTCATCTTGAGTAAACTATTTATTTTTTATTTGAATTGTAATTATTGTAATTATGTACGATTTATCAGATTATTTGATATGTAGAAATTCATTATTACCCATTTGTGCGTTGTTCAGCTATGGAGATGCTGTCACCATAACGCCCCTTTTAGTGATATATATGCTGCGAGTGAAACCTGCCGCCGAATCCCCGTGTCTTTTCTACCTATGTGCCAACGCCCAGTCTAGGTATGCAAATCGGCTTCCTTTCTCTATGCCTGGTCTCTAAAAAAAGGAGGCATGACCGAATAAAATCAATCACAGGCTTTTTACCAATACCCAATCCGTCTGAATGCAGGTTCCGGTAGGAAATTCCACTGCGCCTACCTTCGAGTACCCTAGCCTCTGGTAGAGCCGTTGTGCGCTCTTATGGTCCTCCCAGACGGTAAGCCATAGCTGCTTGAAGCCTTCAGACCTGGCCTTGTTCTCGACAACAGAGATGAGTTTGGTCCCGATACCCTTGCCATGGGCCGTGGTATCTACGTAAAGCCTCCGCAGTTCGGCGTGCGAGGAAGGATCTCCCTTCAGGGATGGATCGGTAAGGCCGCGAACGAGCTGCACAAATCCTAAAATAGAGCCCAGTTCATCACGGGCGACAAATGTGCTGATGTTGTTCTCATGTGCGCTTATGATCTCTGCTTCAATAGCTTCTGACGAGTACGTCTCTGCTAGAAAGTCCGCCAAGTCGTTTTCTGGGACGGAGAAACCGAATGTTGCGGTGAAAGTGTTGGCGCCGATTAGAGCTATCGCCGCCGCATCAGACGGCAGTGCATCGCCGATGGTCACCTCGCATGTCTGCTTCACCTGGACCTCAGTGGTGGTAACGACTGACGCCATTTTCGTGGACATCATGATGTAAATGTGAGCCGTGGCGAATGATACAAACGACAAAAAAGCGAAAAGGAAAACGCAACTTTGGTCGAGCCTGCTGTAGATCTGACCGAAATGTGAGTTGAAAAGGAAGCAAAGTGTCCTAGGGGCATCTTATACATATTGAACCGATCGAACTTAGCTTTGTTTGGTGTAGGGTGTCCGGTTTTCGGGACCTCCGAGGCTCCATCTTGGCTATATCTATGATATTTGCGCGCCCTGCGACTTGTCAATATGACCTAATTCGGATTCCCTGTCTACGTGTGTGTGGATGTCTTAGAACAGCGATGAAAAAATTCAACATGACTCAACGGTGCAATAACTCTTATGCCAGTATTATGGTGCATATTGACCGGCTTATTTTATGATAAAATGTCTGACGCACCTCGTGTAAACACTGCCCCAATGTTCGCCCGTCTTAGAAATCATCTTGGCGGGTGCTGTTATTGGTGACATTTCGCAGGATGGGCGGCATGCAATTAAATGGCAATGAAAAGACCAAAGCATCAGAGAATGATATTTGCGGCGGAAAGGTTACCGCAGTTCAAATCTTTATATTATAGAGTTAGTCCTAAGGTAATTGTAACTGAGGTCTGGTGAGATTCAACCGGACGCACCGGCCACGCCACGCCCATAACGCCTACGACCCTTAACTGGATATAACCCTAACCGGAAGCTGATGGGCTAATCGAAGGTACCTCATATAAAGGGGTCGTACATGTGATTTTGTGTTTACATAATCCGTACATATTTTGCAATCCCAAGCTCTTTTCGTCCCTACTCTTCTCAAAGTTAGATTTCATCGTTCCTATATTTTCGGATGGATAACATTCCTGCTCACTTCCGACTTCGTTGATATCATCTGGCTGCATACCTAGCCCAGACGTGAGCAAGTTTTTGAGTGCATCTTGAATAACCTGAGCAGCATCGAGTAGCGATGTGGTCGAACTGAGTACCTGTTTGCTTCCGCCGCATTACCCATAACAAAAACAAGAGACGAAAGCATTAAGAAGAAATCCACCTACTTAGGGAACACGATGTGTAAGTTCCATGCCGAGTGACCAGCAACAGCTTTAGGCTCAACAGACCAGTCGGCCAACAAGTCAGCCAGGGTAACCCGAACTACTATACAGATCGGCCGGCCGTACTCAACGTGTCGATTTTGCTAACCTCGAGCTTCTGTAGTCCTACCTCGAGGTCAAACTGGCAGCCCATAGACTCTAGAATGGCCTTGATCCGAGCAATGCTCGTAGCAAAGATAGGGAAGCTGACCAGCCCTCTGCCCACATCCGCCCGCTGAGCACTTTGCCCAGTGAAGATGAATGCCGAACCTGCTTCGATAGTGTTTTGAACTTGGGAATGCCCTGTTCTAACTAGCCAGCCGTTCTCGAAGTTAATTCAGCTACAGTGAAAGATTTATAGTCGAATAAGGTCCTATGGATTCAAAAGTATATGAGCTATATCAGCAGCATGCCCTACACCATTCCTCGGGAGATCGGTCTCAGTGATAGATCCCCGGTAAGCCTGATGCTGCCGTTTCATTTGCGCGTCCACCAGCAAGCAGATTGACAACAGTAGAGTGGTTCCCAAATAGACCATGAGTCTGTACCTAGGTAGTGGTATGCATCGTCTAGGATTACGTGTGCATTCACACCACCAAACCAGCGCATCCTTGGGTATGGCCGACGTTTGGCTTGATACCGCCATATATACGGGCTATTCGAGCGAGGATGAAGCCCTAAAGTTGGTAGCTATTGCCGCCGATTCAATCGGGTCCTGCTGCTATGAGATGATATATTATCTACGAGATCAGTATACTTGCGACTTGCGACAACGGGCGTACCCTTTCAGTGAAGTTCGACGTATTGAGTTCCTTCAGGGGGAAAACTGGCTTGGGGGTAAGTGGTACGTATAAGTCTAGCATGCGCCCGAGAACTCGGCATGGTTACACTCGATATCTTCTTCAGATACCCGGCCATATCCGTTTGCTCAATCATCAAATGCGCGTGGTATGCTATCCGGGCTAAGCATATGCAAGGCAACTAGCTGTTGGAGAAAGTTCGGATGAAGTATGACTTTCACTCCTGTAACAAGATCCTATAAGTATAATCTAGCTCAGGGGATAAAGATTCTGCATCCGATATAGAAGGATACTCACCATATTCGTCTCACCTAACCTTAACGATTGGCAGGCCAGATGGACACATACAGACTTGACAAACAAGAAGTATCTAGAGTTAGACTAGGTCCCCGAAGATCGAAAAACTACATAAGAACTTTTGCTGGCAGTCATAGCCTCGCCGTCCCCCGCCGCAACCATACGTAGCAAGTCGCGTATCTCATAGGTTGATTAGACCAACTAGTCACTTGTCATACTCCCTACATAATAGCCCCTTGCCGACCCCGTTATCCTATCCATCGGCATCCCAGATAGTCCAGAGGATCCCGAAACTTACTAGTTCATCAAATCACCGTTTTCAAAAGCCTCACATGCCACTTCCAATAGCAGCTCTTGGCAGGGTCACCTGCTCTCACTCCGCATTCGCACATGCATCGTCATATAAAACGCACCCTTTAAAGTGATGTTCTTACGGCTCAGCCGAATCTCATCCGGCAAGACTAAGCGCGGCATTCGCGATATGATGTGCAGCGGGATCTGCCTGTTCTTACTGCAGCTGCAGTCATCTTTTAAGTCTTGGCTTGAATAGCTGCGCTGCGATCTTAGTTGAGTATATAGAATAAGGCACGTAAGAAGCAACAATTAGATAATAAGGATTTAGGATAACAGAAAGTGACAAGGATCATGGAAGTGTAGGCGTTTTAGTTTCTAACTACCTACTTTTTATATAATGAAGGTATCTCATAACTATCTAACGTCCTAGGAAACTATAGCACAGCTTTTGGCCAAGACCTATTAGGGTAATATTGCTTCTTATCGTGCGTGGTGAATACGACGTATGTATACGCCTTGAAGTGCCAATGGGCTACACTTATCCTAATTAGAGTGTGACAAAATTCCGATCTGTCGAATAAAGTTTGTATCTACCATATATCCCTTATCATAGTGAAAGTGTAGTCGGTACTCTAGGAGATGCAACAGACGAGACGAAAGCAACCAAACCACCGAAGATGGTGGGCTCGGAGATGGCTGCGTAGCTGGCAAATCCCGTTTTAGGGCAATCTATCAAGGTGGTATCTGAAGAGGCTCGAAAGAGAACGTGCTAGATTAGAAGCAAATTTTGGATGGGAGCAGATACCAGTGCCAAAAGGTAATAAACATGTTGTCCAAAATCGATTTTCCATTGTTTTCTTTGAACTTATTACCTACTTTACTTCCAGAACTTCGATGATAATCTTGAGCAATGCTGTTATAACGCCGACGGCTCTGCTAGTCACAATGAAGAGAGTATTGGCCTTACACGGCGTCGGCTCCTCTGCAGAGATTGTTAAGGATCAACTGGCTCCACTGACAAGAGAGCTGGGCCCTAGATACGAATTTGTCTACTTGGATGGAGCGGTCGAAAGAGAAAGGGGCCCAGGTGAGTTCAATGATAGATATGTCGGTTTCTATGAGTTCTCTTTTGCTAACACGCCATTAGAAATAGCGCCTTATTACCTAGGGCCATTTTATTCGTATACCAGGGGCTACACGATGGCTGAGATTCGAGAAGCTCTCAATGGCATCGATCAGTTCGTAAATGACAATGGCCCCCTTCATGGAGTATTTGGCTTCAGCCAAGGTGCCTCTCTGGCTGCCTCATATTTACTCGACTATCAAACCCGCAAGCCCGGGACACAGCTGCCCTTTGAGTTCGCAGTTTTATTCTCTTCGATATCAGCTTTCTCGCCTAGTAAGACATGCTACGAATCCATCATAGAAGATCTTCTAAACCAAGACTTCCCGGCAATTGAGTCGTTTCCCGAGGCAGAATTCAACGAACTTGCCGAACCCGAGCGAATCTTCGCCGAATACTTAGCTCTAACGTTCACGGTAGCCAACAATATGGGCTCATTTACAGAACCGATCAACTTTTTCCAACAGCGGAACCAAGAAGTTATCCCTCGTGTTTTGCATCACTCTTTAACCCAAGACCGCATCAAAATCCCAACTGTCCACGTCAACGGAAAAGGAGATCTCTCTGCAATGAGTGCGCAGTCAAGATTGGTCTGTGGTCTGTGCGACCAATCCTTGGCTCGCGTACATCACCATCCAGGGGGTCACGGTGTACCTACAAACCTCTCCGACGTGAAGACTCTTGTGAAGATGATAGATTGGGCTAGTATAGAGGGAGCAGACCGCCGTGCGCTACATCAAGCCCCGATGGGAACCCCGCAGCGTCAGTTTTCGTAACTACCTCCAACGTATCTCGTACAAAGCTGAAGAGCTCGGGGGAAAGAGCATATCAAAACAACCAGCCCAGATATAATCCATCCTATAATCCATACCATCGACAGAGTGCCTAAAACATAATGAAGTACCCCCCACATCTGTAACTTGGAGTACGAATATGCCCACAGCCCAAAGATCCAGTAATACAGCTGGCCTTCCGCCTTGATAGCAGTGTGTAAAGACGACATACGTAGCCAGCCAATGTTCCTACATCAAGTTCGCTCAGCATCCCCTTTACGGCACCAAAATAGCCGGCAGAATCGAAATCAGCAGTCGAAACAGCACTCACTGCTTCTTGCATTGCATTCGGACCTCCATAATGATCGTCTAAGTACCCCGAGATGTTATAGACTTACGGCGGTTAGAAGGTGGATCCTAAATAATACGAGTTAACGAAGTCCCAATAATCGCCGGAAGCGTTGTGTCTGGCAATTTGTGCTTGCATTTTGCCGCAAGTAAGTAGTTGACGAGGGCTGATGCTAATTGAAAACTGCAGGAATTCACTTCAACCATAGCTCGCCTAGATACAAAGGCGCCTGTTTGGTTCTGATATTATAACAGCCATTCTCAACAGGGACTTACTGTTTTGGTTCAAAGCTGATTACATATCCCTTTTCGGGTTACTTCTTCATGCCGCTTACATTTATTGCTAGACGCAATTTTCTTCAGAGCTTACGAGCGCTGTCTCTTGCTTTAGTCTACAACCAACATATCTATGTCTACAAATGAAACGCGAACCCGTAGATTTGTACTATACTGACGTGGTAAACGCTTTCGTTATCGCTAGTCCTGAGAGTAAGATATTGCTGGCGGCAATGATGAAAGGACTTAGCTAATGGTAATCTATAGGCATACCTATCTATCCACAGTTCCAATGGTACCAACGTTGGCACTATCGAGCCCATATTGAGCGAAGACTAAGATAAGCATAAAGGTTAACGGAAAGTCAGTTAGGTCTCCATTCCCCCCAAAAGAACTCCTAATTATTAGCAGCTATCTGGATATCTACCCTGGTCATATAGATAACTACGAAAGACAACTCATTATATACGGGGGCGTCATCAAGACTACGAACAAGGGAACCACCGTCCTCCCAACGAACGATTCACGAATCCCCCAACCTCTTGCTAGTGGGAATGAATAACTTACCAAACCACTTCGAACCCACCACCCTTCGCCGTGTTCGACGAGCTTAACAGACAGGGCTTTCTATATTTAAGAATCCATGGTCAAAATGGCGAGCTAGATCATATACCGTATGTGCCTTGGGCCTGGAATGGTGTATTTCGGGGTGGTTATCAACGCGCCGCTTCATGAGATCGTTCATAAACTCGGAGAATACGTGGTGCTATCGAAGAGGACTTCGCTAAACCCGTCATAGTACAAATATTCACCATATAGCGACCACCGCCGACAAGCTGGACATACGACGAAATTATAACGCTGCGCTTCCTGAATTGTTTCGTAAAAGGGGCTCACAAGATGCATAATCCCGCGTCCTAGACAGCGCATAAGTCGAAAAGGGACGTGATCGTACCAGGAGGGGGTTAATACAAGCAAAATCTTTTATTATCCCGACTTCCCAAGGGAGTCATCGGACGAAAGACTACTAGGAAAATCCACCCACGTTCGATCTCGACCGTTGGCTAGACAAGGCGGCGAATAAGAAGAGCCGTCGACTATCCTTCACTCCCTTCGGAGCGGTCCCTCGCCTATGTATCTAATATGATGTACCGCTTCTCGAGACCAATCTAACAATCGCTAATTTGATCTGGAGATACTATTTCAAAGATGCCAGCAAGCCGGTAGAATACGGTGCAGAATTCATCTTGACTCGTCCTCTGAACTACTATATTAAGGCAGGCAAGAGAACTGGTTGGCCTGAAAATTCAAAAGCACCTGAGGCCGCCGATGGCGTAAACGGCTCGGACAGTGCGAACGGCAACGAAAATTCACGTTCAAGAATTAGTGCAAATTATCAACATTATAATTATAAATCAGAAAAATTCTCGCACTTCATTCCACACAGGTAATTTCGAAAAGTTGCACAGCCTTATGAATGGATAGTTATACCTACTGTTACGCCAGCCACCTCCTGAAAGTTTTTCCAAGGGCTTATTTTTTTTTGTCGCCTCCATCCATGTGCGATAGCAACGTGATTTTATCACGAGGTAGTAATTACCATTTGTCACAGCCTTCTCTGGAGTTTCAGCTTATTATCGACTCGAAACCGGGGTTTTGCTTTGCTTACCTAAGACCCCGGAGACCGGTTCTCTTTTGGGAAATTTCCTAATTAGGACAGATTCGTAAAACGGGACCCCCTATTCATCTATGCGAGTTTAACCGTCCGGGCAGGCAGCAATCCATATAAGCTGCCTCAATAACTGATTGAGATGTACTTTCTATATTTGAACTCCTTTCTAGTACGGAAGATTCTGATCTCATGGACCCCAGGATAAAACAAGTGGTGATACAATGCACTTGACTTCGTATTAGACGCGGCTCAAAATATTCACCATCATTCCTACATACCTCATCACCTACAGGCTGCAGCCACTTTGTCAATCACTAATATATCTGTAAAAACTGCGCCTCTCTTGGGCTAACTAGGGTCTATTACATACTATCGCTCCGAATCCCTTCCTACCTACGCATCGATCATACCTAGATGCGGCCCTGATGCGACCCGAGAAGCTAGATAGCGGGGAGTAAAGCCAAAAGCAGGGTGTCAAAGTTGAAGCCGGGAGTTCTGATAGTTTTATTGTGCCAGCTAAATTATCTCCCCGCTATATCCTTTGAAATACGACCAAGGGGTAAGGGTAAAGATCAGTCGAAGCGTGGTGAACTATGAACCCTGTTGAGATAGAATCCATGGTGTAGGTCTAAGCCCCTTTTCTTGAGTGTTTCGGTATTCCGGTGATCTGGAACTATCCCTAATTTCAAAGTATAGCTCTAATTTGCGATTCAAACCTGGATATTATGTTAACGCGTCGATAGTGGCTTCTTGTTGTCGTCTCCCTGCTTGCCTTGTTTCTAATATGCGCGCTCGACGTAATTGTCGTACCTCCAATCCGACAGCTAATTTCCAATTTGCAGAGTCCATCTCGTAAGCATTACTATTTGTCGCCTTGAGCTTCGCCCTGGCGAACTAACGTTCCCCCGTAATCCAAAGCTTGCTGATAATTCTCGAACAAGAGTCCGAAAATAGTAGCAAATCTTCGTGGTAGGCTCGAGTAAAGATATCCATCTTAAGAAAAGGTCAAATTCTTTCACCCGATCGTTAAGAAAACCTCCTCCTCTTTCAACCATAGGGGAAATTGCTATCCACGGCTTATACTTAGAGCTATATTCCAACTTATTTGTGATGTGTGTTGATACGTGAGCGGAAATTACCCCTTTTTTGTTATGTATAGACTAATTTCGAGGCATGTGTACACAAACAAGCCTACTTCAGACACGAGGATAGATGGTTATATTACGATTATTCTAGAAGCTAGGCTGAGTTCCTAGCAGGCAACGTAAGGCTAAACCTAGATTAGGTACCTAACCAATCCGCATATATCGACGATTGTGTCACGAGGTGGAATCAAACAGCATGGAAACAACTTCGTTATTCCGCGTGGAACTCTAACCTATCTGGCGAGCCCACGGCTCGTATATACATACATGTTCTTTGTCCTAGATGTCTCATCTAGAATCCTGACAGATTGTAGGTACTAGCCACTCAAACTTTACGAATCGCCAGTGACATGGAAGTTTCCGGTGTAATCTTCGTCGAGATCTTCAGCATTCTTCCCCAAAGCTATCATAAAGTAAACATCGGCTGCAGTTGCTGCAGTGGAGATGATGCACGTGCGGACATCCGGACGATCGTGTTTATTTCTAGCCTGCTCATAATGACATAGATGTTTGACTGGATTGACGCCAGGATTATTACATACAAGCAAGAGTAGCCGGGGTGGTTTTCGTACTGGGTACATGTAACAAGTCTCGCATTACTCAGAAGAACCTCTCTACCCATAATGAATCTGCGTAGGAAAATCTAGTATCCTAACGTACGAGCTAGGCACGCCAAATTGGGTATTCTATCTAGATTTATTTCAATAATTCCATTACCCCGTCCCTGAGATGGCATGTTTTTGAGTCCTATTCAAGTATGTATTGCTTCGATTAGAACGAAGACCACGCCATTAAGTGCTTCTTATGCGTAGATGCTACGCTAGAAGCCCTCCCCCGGCACTACCAAGACATTTAGAACAGAATGCTTGCAGGTAGCGTCAGTAATCCCGTCCCGATTAGATCTATAGCTTACCACTTAGGTAGCAATGAGGCTGGGCTTCCACCCCCAACCCCATCATGCCACGCAAAAGAATAGAGGGTCCAGAGCAGGCAACAGAGGTGGGTAAAGCACCCGGATTGTCAGTCCATGCCGAGGGAGTCCAACTGGGGGAACTGACTTGCTGGAGGGTATTGGCTCTCGGTTCAAGAATGCATAGATTATGATAATCGTACGTTGGCGTCGCGAATGAATCATATCACTAGACCTAGTATGAGTTTCAAGATGCTACTACAAGCTTAACACCCAATAGTAGAGGAGGTAAAAATGGAGGCTCGATAGATAGGTCTCGATTGAGTCTCGCCAAGTAGTTCCTGGGTAAGGGTCCTCAGATCTTCGACTGTATGTAATCATGATAGAGTTACATCGGGCTGTTAGACTTAGATTAGGGGTTGTAACGGGTATACCTAGTGACGAGCCCTTACAACAAAGCTCTAGCTCTAGGTATAAAAAGGTATATACAATTCATGATCATTTTCGACGCCGATATGACGTTTAGGTATTGTAGAAGCTATCGTGTGTTCATAGAGTTGCATCCAAACTAACACTCCGGGAGGGTATGAATGCCTCCTAGGAGTTGTCAACTCTGCAGAACGATGTGACGTCGTAATGCACAACAAGATGTATTAACTTGAAGCTTTTCCCCAGGGTTATGGAGCAAATCTGACGATTGCTGCATTTTATCCCTACCCCAGGTACACAAGTCGTGACAAGGGTACCCAGAGGGAACCGGCAAGGTTGATGATAACCATACACATATTCAGAACCCAACAAGCTATATAGGTTGAATCAAGCTTTTCAAAGTTAATTTTAGGCATAATTGGATCCTATATCACGTAGAATATACCCTCATTCTGATCTTACTATATTCTCTCTCACCTCTTGATGAGCTTGCAAGAAACATCTCGGAGGTGGGAGTATCGGTAATCGCCTAACAATTAAATCGGTCGGCTTGGGGGCAACACAAGGCCCTCGCACCCTATCCTACCAGCTCCGTTAAGTTGTGCTACATGAATATGCAAATCCCGAGCGATTCGGCGTCTGACGTGACCACTAGAGCTACGTAACAAGCCTATGGCGTGTGAGGCACTTGGCATCTTCATTCGTATGGGTCGCCATTATCGTAGATCTATAATTCTCACTACAGGGGAATTAGCAAATCTGATTAAATCTAATAATTCCTACGACTATCGCCTTTAGAAGTTGATAGTAATAAGACCCGAGATCTTGCTATTTAATTTATTTTATATTACTTGGTTTGGTTAGATCGGTATCTGTGCTTATAAGTGAATTCGATATGCAAGTATTCGGTTGAAGATGTGCAGTTCCGAGATACATAGGCGTGCTCCCGATCAATGAGACGCGTTGCCTCTTATTTAAGCATAGAGTGCGCTCTATGAAGTATCGATCGTGTCTATAGCCTTAACTCCGCCCTTTCCTGGCAACATCGGTTTAACCTTTTCCTCATATACCTTTGGTCCGGCTCGCAGGTCTATTAGCCAGCTTTAGATTAGATATCCAGTTATGTTCGGTGCATTTAGATATAACGAAAAGACGAAGGAGCATGATCATTTCAATCTGCCTGATCACCAGTCGTCTCCGGTACAAGAGAGGGAATACACGCGCACGGCTTGCGACTTATGCCGCGCGAAAAAAGCAAGTTGACAAACTTTTACATAACAGCTTATAGTAAGCTAGGACCGGCTAACCAAATTACGCTATATAGGTAAAATGCAATGGGGACAAGGACGAGTGCGACAGATGCATAGCTTCCTCTAACATCTGTACATACACCTTAAGCTCTGGCACAGGCCCTGGTAGAAAACGATTGCGTAAAGCATCTGTCGCCACAAATACCAGGTCAAATCAAAGTTCAATATCACGAAGTCGGTCCCCTCGCCATCCCCAGCGGAAGACAACAGCTAGTGGGCGTAAGAGCGGCAGCAATACGCCAAGAACGAGCCAGCCTATTCCTTGTTCAAGAGAGCCCATGGCCACTAGCACGATGATTGAGACTCCTTTTTCCAGTCCGTCGGATTCCGCCCCGACGACAGGATGGTCGGCACCCGATTCGGATATTCACCATTTACTGAACTTACCGGCTGATATGGAGTCCTTCACCGGAAATGAATTTGAATTTACCCCTGGTAGGTCCTCATTAACTCTATCATTGCAGCGTACCTACACCTAGATGGAGGTCACGAGCCAAGTTTCCGTAACTAATACCGACTTCAAAAGGGTTCTCCGCGCCTGCATCGTTGTCACCTGATGATCAGTCGCCGAGTGGATTACAGGGTATGGATCAGGTATCAATATCGGAGAATTACTCGTCCCTACTCGGTCTGCAATCTTCTGGGCCCGTGGATTCAGCTCCTATTCTTCTGCCACCGTCGCCCACGCGAACGCATTCTGCGCAGGGTCTGTCGGACAACAGCCACAGCACGGAACATTTGAGCACGCCCACGACCTCTAGCAGCTTGAGTCCGGGTCAGAAGTGTGGGTGCTTATGGGCCCTCCTATACGTGTTTGAAGATACAGGCGTCCAAATTACTTCCAGCCGAGACGTGGCAACCGACACCCTCTTCCAGTGCCTGCAACGAGGCGTGCAAGAATGTCAGGCCATGTTGTCCTGTCGAAAATGTGATACGAGAGTCAGAAATCCCATACTTCTCGCTACGCTTGGGAACCAATTAGTTGCTATTGCGCGCGAGCTCGTCACTCGATTCATACAGTGCCAGACCGGAGAAACCGCCCCGGTAGTCTTCCAGTTCGGGCGATATTCTATCAACGGCACCGGGATGCAGACCCGGATGCTGCGAGACATGGTTGCATTACATGTTCGGGATTTATATGATTTATTGCATCGCTCTAGACTTAATATCGACGCTATCCCTGGGCCGCTGTCAATATTAGAGAACGCGAAGATGGAAGTGAACAAACTTCAGGAAATATTATCGCAGAGCTTAGAAAGTATAAGCAGTAACTATAGTTGACGGTATCTTCTGTAGTTCTACTATTTCTCAGTCTGGTACTGTATACGTGGCGTTTGGTTTTAAAATTTGGCAGTCTAGGTAGTCTTCTGGTTGGTTGGTACACAAATAATCAAAGCGAAGGCAATTCTATTATTATTACAAAGCAGAAACTATCAACGGTTCCTCCTGTACATCTCTAGTTTCGCGGCTGCAATGGTAAGGATGTTTCAGCCAAGACGATCATAAACAGCTTCCCCTTCTCGAAGCAGTAGGTATTACAAGTTGGGGGTCATCGAAAACCACGTGAAATTCGGTTGTGGTGCCGGTGGCCAAGTGCTAGTACCTAGATATAACTAATAAAGGGGTAAAATTCTTCTCTAATAGGACCGGTTTGGTAAGCCCGAGATAATGGTCCATGGAAGGTCACAATGTCTATCAAAGACTTTCGAAGGCATCTACGAGCCAATCCTATTCGCTAGTCACAGTATCACTAAGCCTCTTTGAATTTGAGAGCTGAAAGCCCGTATGTAGTCGTTGCCCGTTGCCTAGACCGGCCCAGGTTCATGATTGCAGCATTCATATCTGTCTAATACAAGTTGGCTTATCGCAAGGATTAACAGGACGCATGGTAGCATGCCATGGTACGTGACACAGCATGAACGTGAGCACTTTGATTTAAATTTCCTACGTGGGCTGGCTTACCTTCAAGTTATTAGCTAACCCCGAGAGGTATATGCCAAAGAACCGTTAGATATACTTGGTTACCTCATTATAGATTCCCACCCTGCAATCTATTTTTACTGCTCCTCCACAGGATCGCGCCGCGATGGCTGATCTCTCAGCCCACCTTAAAGTCACCGTAGCATTTGGAAGCCGTTCTAGCGCTTGGCTTAGTGGTGTGCATACGACCTACGAGCCTTACCGCGTGCTACGGAGATGACAACGTTCTTCGAGGTCCACTGCGTATGCGAGGCTAGTGCATGACATCCAGCTTTCAGCTACACACGTATTTCGCCGGTCTAATGGGGAGGAAAAGGAGGGAATTAGAAGCGATCAGCTATATACAATACTGTATTTACGTGATAGAGAGGGTGACTCGCGTGTTCCGAATATAATTCTTAGTATCCTCTATCCTAATAGCCTACCCGTCTCACATCGGGGCTACAAAACTAATGACCCGGCCGTATGGATGAGCACGCTTCAATCACGGACCTTAATATAGTATACCATTCCGGAGCAGCCCCCACACAACCCGTCAGGGTTGCCATGCCGACCACCATGTATTGCCACAGGCTCCCTCACAATTCTTGGGGATCAACGCACGTTCACCGCTTCCAAGTAAAGTCGCCACATCTCGATAGCTGTACCACCGTCACCCCATTGAACTTTCCCCCTTTTAAATGCTGTCCCAGCCCTAAGCCTATGAGCGATGGGGGATAATTTAGAATTAGGACCAGGATATTCAACACGGCAGAGCTGGCTATTTTCAATATGAAATTAGTATTCGGATGCGTTGACTATGGGGCATGGGCCCGGACAAGACCGGAAGATTCTAGAGGTCGGATCATGGGAACTGTTAGTTGAAAGGGGCTTAAAGGTTAGGAATGCTCCGGTCCAGCCGAGGAATAGGTGTTTAGAGGGGTCTGTACGACCTATATACCCGCCTCTGAAGCTTCGATTATCTCCACAAGCCTGCGGAACGTTCTCCCGAACAATTCAACGAGGACCAATAGCCCAAGAAGGTGACCAGGGTATCCCGTGTGGCTTTGGCGCGATATCCCTGCTCAATGATCGACCAAATACCTAATCGAATCCCGAGGACTTGTATTGCACAGAAAAAGACGAGTCATTTTATTACTCTGCAGGTGCTACTACGTAAGCATCGATCATTGTGTGATAGGAACACTTTCGGGGTTAGATAGCATCTAGAATCAATAGGGAAACGGCGCCATATCTAAATATGACCACGTATAGTGGCGTGGTGGTTGTGTAACCAGGTATGCGGTTCTGGTCCCTACCAGGTGGTTATTGAAGACTACATTGTATGGGGCCGAGGAGATGGCTCATTGATGAGGTATGGCACGAGAGTGCTATATAGGCTATTCGAGATACTACGAGCCAATTAGGTGATTTCGGATTCAATCTTCTACTATCCACTGGGAAGAATGTATAGCACGTTGAGGGTTCCAGATATACGGGGCATTTCAATTTGCACAGCAGGTCTTAGCTTCGTAGCCAACCCCCAGACGTTAACTGAGTTTTACCAGAATCCGGGGTTGCTCCTAGTTTAATTCAAAATCTAAAATAATTCATATGAAGATAACCTAAGGGGGCAAGTAATATCGTAGGCAGCATTGGCCCTGAGAAGCTACAGGGTTAAGGCTACCCGTAACCTTGTCCGTCAAGGCTGTATTAGGCATCCAATCACAATTATGGTATCACATTAAGAAGCTTGATTAGGGAACATGGGTATTTTATTCGCATCTAGGATAGATATAACGACATCCGCTGTCAGTTATTCGTAACGGTCGACAGTAAGTCAATGCTAATACATGTGGTTCTCTAAGCGCCACTTGATAGTCCTAGATAACGACTCACACCCCCTTAAGTCAAGTCTCGAAAGTCTCGATAATCTCATCACCGACATGCTTCACGAACACGACAGTGGGGTAGATGTCAGGGGCTTGGTCTGCAAACCAATCCCACCAGGTGCCTCCGTCGGGGTGCATCAAGCGTCCCGCCTCGAAGTCCTCAAACTGGTCTTCGCTAATCTGGTTGGAAAACACGGCGGCGGTATTAATCCAGGCACTCAGGACATCCCCAACACAGGAATCCCACTTAGCCGACTCCTCGGGGGGGATCGCCGTCTTCTGCTTCCACCTCTGAACGACCGTTCCGGGGAGCACCGGCAAAGTGCTTTCGATGTGCTCTATGAGAGGGTCGAACTGGCCGAGAGCAGGCGCGACGATTGTGCGCGATCCAAAGAGTTGAGAGATGGCCATCTCGCTCCAATTATCGTTCACTGCAGCCACCTCCATGGCGATGAAGATGGTCTTCAGTTGTTTCGGCTCATCAGCAACAAAGAAGTTCTCAAACGTCTCGGAGATTTGATGGAAACTGCTGTAGGGTACGATGAGGTTCTGAACCTCGGAGGTCAGTTCTCCCACTACGACAATGGTTGTTAGCGGCCACCAGCACTTGGGAATGAATCTGATTACGACACTCGGCGAAATATCATGGAATCAAACGGGATCTAAGGAGACGGTACACTTACAGTTAAACTCGGCCGAGTCCAAGTAGACAAAGTCGATAGCGGGGCGAAAAAAGGTCATGCCACCATCTCCGAGCTCGAATACGCCACCTTCCTGAAATACAAGGCTTCTCGACTCAGCGCAGACGTGGGCCAGTGCCGGAACAGGTCGGGTGACACGAATGCTGTCGGTCAGGACGACGTGGCGGGCTACGCGTTCTTCATCCATCGCATTCTAAAGGAAGTACCGGGATGTATTAGCGGTTTGATGTAAATGGAAAGGCAAAGGGGCTCTAGAGACAACAAAGTTCGCTTACCTTCCAGATCATGTGACGGAGTATCGGGGGCAAGGAGTTGAACTCGGGGAAGTTCGAAGGTCTGGCAGTAGTCTCGAGCTCCTCATCGACGTCCATCTCGACGTCAAGGCTCATGGCATCGTCGAACTCCATGGAAACGTCGACCTTCATCTCCGGCGTTGAGGACATGAGTATGGTCTTGTGAAGGTTGCCAGTGATGGGTAACAAACCTAGCGGTGAAATAAAAAGAAGTAAAGAACTGAGATCTTGTTAAAGGACACAAGACTCGAGGGGAGGATGCGATTAGGTTGAGATCTCGAAACTGTGAACCTGATGCCTGAGTTGAGGAGAGGGACAAATTAATAGCAGTGACAAGGGGAGGTGCCTTATTTATTCCCACTCAGGAACCTGAGGTATTTGGAAACTATTGGAACTTAGGCTTGAAAAATTCGCTTCGCCATAGTAATAATCAGTGATCTGTTGACTTATGAGTGGCTAGATTAGACAGGCGACTGGCCAGATTAGACAAGCGACTGGCAAGTTCAGTTGCTTAGGAAGGCATAACCTGAGCAGTTTACTGTACTAAACAAGACTTATATCTATTTGCAAGTGTATGCCAGTCGAAAACAGGTATACTTGTTTGAAGCCATGACTCGCAGCCTAGTCACAGATTGTGACTAGGTGAGATACGTATCATACGTAAACCAGGTTGAAATTCTCAAGCTGATCAACTAGGAAGGGGCATCGTGATAATGTGTCCAATAAATGCACTTGATTTCTAAAAGAAATCTATTTGTGCCTGGTTAAAGAGGGAGATGGTCATCTCAACTCCAGATTTGCTGAGGGGCCATCTTGGTGAATCAAGGATAGATTGTAGCCTTTATAAGCGTCCTTTCATCCCTTGATGTACCTGTTAGTATAATACGCACTCATTAGCGCATTGGTGCTTGGAATATCGATAATCGCTACAGTACAGAGGGTAAGCCCTCGGCGTGGCAGTACTTCAGTTTGGTCATAGGTTTGCCTAGCAGGGATAGGAATTAGCCAAGTGTGCTAGAAACAAAACTGCTTATTACTGGTTTAAATATCCACACGGCGTTAATAAGCGTCGAGTCGTAGGTAAGCCGTCTTCGGCGCTCTATGCTAGTCGCCGCACCATTTGCATAGTGGTTTGCTGTTCGGTGTGTATTACGATGAAAAGGGGTTGGATAAAGGATGGCTATAAGGCTAAGGGGCTATCGATATATATACATCCCATGCTACATTCAAACAAAGGGTCAGCCGAACTGCACTATGCACGCTCGCTTAAATAGTAGAGAGCAAACTACCCACTCGCCATCATCTCGAGAATAGCAAAGTTAAAAAGGTGTAACAGGGACTCGTTTGCTGATGTGAGTGGAGGAATGTGCAGCAAGGAACATAGCGGAACTATGAAGATAGGGGTGAACACTAAGGAAATTTTGTATCTTACAAGTACATACAGTTCCAATTGCAATTTTATCCGTATTAAGTACCTACCTAGGCGCTTGTACTAATTCTGGACAAACACGACTATGACTTGGGATACCTATTAAAACTAGCTGCCGAGTTGTGAATATGGCTAGCGAGTCGAGAGAGAACATTCCAACCATTGCAAGTCGGGCTATGTACTAAGAAATATAATCTAAATCTTTCGATACTGACTGTGTCACTTCATGAGTGATGAATAAGAGGATATTGAACTTCGATGGGAAGTTATCATAAAATGAAGCAGACTCATGTCCAGAGCTGTAAGTTGCGAGATGTCCCTGTCATTCGCCATATTTACGGAACCAAATCAATATCTTCTACCGGGCCGTCAGTTTCTAGAAGCTGCGTATCGAAACCTATTGAATTGACTTTAGCGTGTACGTGTATGCATGGCGTGTAAGTAATGTAAGTAAGGAAGTTACCAATGTCGAAACATCACAAAACAAACTGTCCGATCTGTAGAATAGGGGGACGTATTCAACGCTATGATTGGCCCTTACGCTAATGTAATGAATCAGGTCGTAAATTATCACCCCGACACGTATTATAAGACCACGTAATCCATTTAAGGGTTTGAAGAGGGTTGAGTTACTACAAGTTGGGCAATATTAGCGATTTACCGGATGAAAGAAAGAGCACAGACGTACAGATATCCGAGCCGTTGCTGATGAGGATATAAGCCTCCGGGCACTACTCGGTGACGTGCAGGTCGAAACTACCTAACTAGAACGTTTTAGAGGCGGATAAGGCTGCATAGCTTGGTTTTTTTTTAGCAGGACAATAACTACAAGGCTTGATACGTCCGTTCTTGCTTATTGGGCTGTCAGGTTAGTACTGACCTCGTTTTGGATTTCCTTTTCTGATGGGAAACCGGGGGAGAGCAAGGGGGGTTAAAACTAGCAGGGTTTAGAATCCTACCTCGTGTTATATCTGTTTAATTCTGTAGCCTTAAATCATCAACGGTCCAATTGCAAAATCTGATTCGTTAAATTCAGATTTAAACGTCGCCGAGAGCTCAGCCCCAAGAGATCTAACATGCTTAACCATTGGGCTACCAGGAGTCTTTAGTGGTCCAGGGGTTAAGAACATTGCAAGAGGTTGACCTCTTATATTCTCACTCTCCTAATGCGTGTTAAACGATTTCCCTTAACGTACGGTTAGGTAGTGGGATGCCATCGGTATAACGTACGCGTAGTCTTGTCTCATGTAGCGACTTGCGCTTTTGTTCTGCAGCAGCAATGCAGAACCATCATCAGGATGCGCCTTTTGACGACAATAAATACTATTTCCCTCCCAATACGCTGACATCCAAGCAGTCTCAACCATGGCTTGAGGTAGCCCCAGTACGAGACGAGCAAGGCACGCCGGGATTGCAACCTATATCACACGATGGACACAAGTACGCCGACGTTGCTACTCTAGGAGGAATGCGAGATGGGACGGCGCCGTATAGAACACAAGGAACAGCTCACGCCGACGAAATTACCTCGCAAGGGTTACAAGCTGTCCCCACGATCGCAACAGAACGATACTTGGCGCAATCGCAATCGCAACCGCAACCGCAATTCCCATGGCCCAACCCGAATGCGAGTCACCACTATGGACAATCGTTCCAGACCTTGCCATCATCACAAGTTTCAGGCTTTTCCAGCGAAAACCTGGCGCATGTTCCTCAACTAGCCTCGTCGAGTGCTGAACGCCAATATCTCAATCCTTCTACCGCAGCCGGCGCGGGTTCGTCGTGGGTAAAGGATGAGCGCCACATTTTGGGTAACGATAAAGAGGTAAAGGTGAAACGTTGGGTATTATGGGCTATAGGTGGTGCCGTAGTGCTACTACTCGGGATCGGCGCGACTTTAGGCGGTATTATGGGAAGCCGAGCACATTGGAGTGTCAGTTACGACGGAACAGAGTCGAATATAACTTCCAACGGCACATCAACCAGTCCTCCGAAGTCGACACCAACACAATCTATCAAAGTCGGTTCCAGGTTAGCTGTGACCGGGTATAGGACCGATGCGGATTACGGAGTTCGCCTTTTCTTTCAGGACCAAGATAATCAAATACGATTTACGGATAAGGAGCACGTCAGTGCCAATTGGACCAAGACAACGGTTTTGGACACACTATTATATCAACCGATGGAAAATGGATCGATAGCCGCGGGGTCTTATTTATTTGCCGACCCGGTGGTAAGTCTCATACCCAAGCATGGCCGTGTACGCATTGCTGATTGAGTAGCCGAATCTTGAATTCTTCTACGAGGATAAAGATGGTATAATCCGGGGTCAGAACTTCAATTTCGAGTTTGAGAAGGGAAAGTTTCCTCCGAAAGGTGAACCCGGAAGTATCAATACGTATCCTCTACAGACGGCTGGAAAAACTCGAATATCATGTTACTTCCCTTACATTGCTTCTCAAGACGCCAGCAACGCCATACGATGGACTACATTGCGAGGACAGAATGCTAGTGATCTCTCGGCCCCGTGGTGGGTTAATGATACGAATTGGAACATTAAAGCATCCGAAGGAGGTGGCATGGTTGTGCTTCCAATCGCACAGACATATGAAAACGCTGGAGGCATAATCTATCGAAGCAACGAGGGTATGCTATCACTCAAAATCCGTGATGGATTAGAGTCTTCTAATGACGGGGTGGCTTGGAGGAAAGGGGCTCTGTCGAAAAAGATCCCAGCCGACACCCCTATCGGTGCCTTTTCAGTTGGGCGACCTTACGACAATAACAATCAAGTTAATACGTATATACTATACCAGGACGACGATGGTATAATCCAAGTTGTATGGCAAGACGACGATACAGGTTGGAAAGGACCTCAAACGTATGATGCGTTAGATGGAGCGGAGAAAGGAGCAGATATTGCTTGCCTGACTCCTGGAGCCTACGAACCTGCAAATATAGGCATATCTAGAGAACAGGATATGAATCGGTGCTTTTTCCGGATAGGTGGTGGGAAGGTTAAAGAGGTATGGTTTAACGGCACCAACTGGGTTTCGGTGGGAATCGTGCCAATTACGTAAAGTATACCTACCTACCTACCTACCTATATGTATACGATAGGAAGAGTTAAGAAGATACCTGCATATTATTATACCCAATGAATACAACAATTGAAGTTTTAAATGTCGAATACAAAACAGACCCTAATGCAGTAGTTGGCTTTTAAGTTTGCCATGGTTTACCTACTATGGTATGATGGGTAAGTAAAACCCCTGTCACAAGTCGTGCGCTAAAATGTGGCCTATGTTGCTACTTTACTTATTATAGACTTATATACGTACAATAGCAAATTTAAAAGATTTTACCACTTTTAACATTTAAAAATTAAACCATTAAATTTCAGCTTTTTTAACGATTATTTCAATATAAATTTTATTTTTTAAAATGTGTGGGATGTTGATGCATCGATTATTTCTATTTTATTTTAATAAAATGTATCTTTTGAAGACCCTGGACAATCTAGTACTGATTTAGTATGGTGGCCTGTCTAGCGTATTTTGCGGTACCTGACAGGGTAGTTTTACTTATGCCTGATACCATAGTATGTTTGGGACTTGCAAGTACCCAAGTACCTAAGTATGTACTGACACCGGATTGCCCCGCTGCGGCAACTCCCCAAGCACGCGATAGAACCCCGAGTTAGCCGATAAGATAAGAAGATGTATCAGCATATCAGCTGCAGCATATCGAAATGGCTTGGCAACTACGCTGCTGCTCTCACTCATCTCTAGACTCTAGCGGCAACATCCTTCCTGCCTCTCTTCCTACCGAAACTAGGGAATCGCGTGGTTCCGCCTTACTGAGGGGAGGTTTGCATATTCCATTCACTTTACCTCGCCATTTCAACCTTCATCTTCTATACGCGTTAGGTACTCTGAAGGCTCAAGCGCCTGTAACCCTGTAAGTTTATTAGGAGGAAAGTCCGTGACTATTAGGACGTCAAGGCTAGGACCTCGGCCCCTCAACTCACTCCTCAATATAACATTCCCCTATGGTATTGTAATCAAGACTATTGCTAATTTCCCCTCTTCGCAGTTCTTCAGCAATCCTTATTTATCCCGAAGAGTTCCGTCACTATAACCAGTGGCTAACGATAACCAAGCTCGATTAATCAACATCTCCCAGAGGCACCAAGCATATTTTCGCGCTCCTATGATTTCCCCATTGATCTCCCTCTATGCGGCCTGAGCGAGTCTGGGTCACAGGATGTCTGCTAATAATGATCCGCCCGATGCGCCCCGCCTGTCCGAAAGGGATGCTCTCCAAATAAGCGACGCTGGGCTAGGGAGCTCGCATGCTCGGAACGAGACCCTAGCTAACGCTGTCTGTCCGTACAGCACTTCCGGATTTTTCGATCAAGAATGTTCTCGCTATTACGACTGTCCAACACACACGATCGAGAGGAGTCCTGCGGAAGACGATGATGGGAGTACGACAATTGGGATGCGTGGCCGCGAATCCAGTCAGGCTAATGCCACAACACAACAGGTCGGTGGCAGGGTAGGGCATGGTACGGATGCAAACGGCTCGAGCACGGAATCGAATACAGTAAATGCTCCAATGCCTAAGCAGGACATAGGTTCCAATTCACAAACGTCGGAAACCGACGTCAGCGTTAATACAACCGCTTTCGATGAATGGGGCTCACGTGCAGTTCAAGTTGCCGATACGCAAGAGGGGAGGCTCAATATTAGCGAAGTCTTAGGCCAAACGATTCCGTCGTCTGGTGAACTATCTATTGGGAACTCGGCACCACCTCAATCTAGGACCGACGCAAGATCCCCGGTAACTGGACGTACGAATCAGAATTCAACTGCATCACCATTGGTAGTTTCAAGTGAGACCCAGAGGCCACCCTCGCGCTTAAATCCGATAGCACCAGAATTTACTCCACAGCCAGGCAGGTCTCCGCAGGATATTACCCTTCCGAGATGGCAGCCAGATAGTGAAGTGACCTTGTGTCCAATATGTCGCACGCAGTTCAGCTTTTTTGTTAGGAAACATCATTGCCGGTAAGTTTTTATTCTGGGTAACTATATATATATAACAAAGCCGGCCGAGGAAACTAATAAAAAGGGAAGAAAATGTGGAAGAGTAGTATGTAATGCGTGCTCCCCACATAGGATTACTATACCACATCAATATATCGTACGACCACCAGGTGAAAAGACGTTTCAACGATATCCCTTCCTCGGGGATGAAGGCGGTCTCGCCGATTTTACCGCGCTCGGAGGTGGTGAACAGGTCCGGCTCTGCAACCCCTGCGTCCCGGACCCGAATACTACACCACCGCAAACCCAGCACTCGACGAGCCAATCCTCGCCGAGGTCTACGCATCACCGATCCCAGAGTAGTTCTAGCGGCAACTACAATGGGGATGGCAATCTCAACCGTCCCCAACAGTACTTAGTCTTACCAAATTCATCTCATGATGCTTACCCTAGGAGCCGAAGTGTCACGATGGTTTGTTTTCCCCATTGCCACTTACGAGCAACCTGCTAATACCACCATAGAATTCTGGTCCGGGCCCCTCGAGGCCTGCGAGCGGACCTTACTTCCCGCCTCAAAACAGAATTATGACCGGAACCCCGCCGACGTACTACCCACGCCCACAACCGGCACGCTCGAGATATCGCCGCACTTCACTCCTGGGCCCCCACTTATCTAATAGTTCTTTCGTCGATATGGCCAGCGGTTCCTCGTCCTCGTCCTCGACAGCGATGACTAATCGTCCATTGCCACCCGCGCCACAGATCCCGGAAGAGGACGAGTGCCCCATATGCCACCGAGAGCTGCCCTCGAGAGAGCTTCCTAACTTTGAGTCTCTCCGGGAGCTGCACATCGAATCATGCATCATGGTACATAGTTCGTATAGCCCAAGTTCTGGCGCATCCGGCAAGTCGAGCCAGGTTACTCGCAGAACCGGCATGTTTCCGTACCTAGCCACAGAGAAGGACTGTGTGGACTCTGCGGAATGTACCATCTGCCTCGAAGAGTTCGAGGTCGGCGTTGCCATGGCGCGTTTGGAGTGTCTCTGCCGCTTCCACCGAGCTTGTATCAGCGCGTGGTTTGTTGATCATCCTGGGCGATGTCCTGTTCATCAGCACGACAGCCTCGGTTACTGATCAAATACTTTGTCGATATGCTCAACTACTTGCACGTCTCTACTACTCACTTCCCAGCATAGTGTTTATATAGTCATGCGTTGTTGTACTTGTATCGGTTCCAAATTCCGCAGGAAGGCTTATGCTAGGTATAAGTTTGGCAAGGGGACGGGCGTTTGTGGCACTGCTCTACACTCTTTATAATCTGCATTTCTCTAATGGCTAGCGGAAGGGTTTTTCTTTTTCCCTAGATACATGTGGCTCCTACGCCATCACACAAGTACGGAGTTGGGCGCAGGGGTCTCATCGTCTTAGCGCTTGGATAGACCTATACCATTTTGCCTTACCTTTCTAATATGACTACATATGGGGCATTCGTCTTCGGGTTACATATTATGGCGATATGATAGGGTGAGTAACAGAATTCCTCGTAGCCTATTGCCAATCATATGTAAGGAAACTAGCATCTATATGTCGTACCATTATAATTAAACTATACTGCTGCCCGTCGCCATCTAGTTTATGTCGACAGGGACCGGGCCATCAGCTGCGCCTGCAGGGGTGGTGTTAGCCTCGTTGACCTTGGCTTCTCACCGACTTTGGTGGTAGGAAATATACTTGTCTGCTTGTGGTAGTTTGGGCCCCCACATTGGCCTGTTTGGTTTAGTGTTGGCGCCGACGATCGAGATTTCCCCATCCCATCCTGCTGCTTGGAAATGTCATCTTCTCCCCCACACACGCACGCACGCTGCTTATTAGCGCCCCTGGGGTCTTGGGGTTCTTGGGGACCTGTCATAAAATACACGCTACGCTACATACATACGCACGCCTCATCCTTCGCTGCTTAAATCGTCGAAACGATTCCCCCCAGAATGACGTATGTCGCACGCACTAGGGCCACAGGGGAACCCCCTACCTACTTCTATCGTCCCCCCCTTTCTTTCCTTTCCTGTTGCCGAGGTGAGCTATCATCTATCGGTTCCTGGGGTGGCGACGGGGAATTGGCTGGGGCGGCAAGGTTAGCTGCATATGTAATGCGTGTCTGCGACTTATGTAAATCGAGGCGTAGCGTACCTGACGTCGTCTTACGGCTGGGGGGCAGGGGGGTGGTGTAATATTGTGCTACCCCCTTGTCACCGAGGACGCGGATAAATGCCGTTGTTGGGTTCTGCATACATATGTGTGTGTACATGCGGGCGTGCGTGCGTGCGTGCGTGCGTGCGTACTGTATGTATGCTCGTGGACGGATTCGAAAGGGGAGGGGAGTAGTCCAATAGGAGGATAAAGCGGCGACTAATCGGATTGCTTGGCCGTTGATGTGTACAGATGATGCAGGTCGGGGATGTACCGGCCGGTCGTTCCGGACCCGAGTTGTCGGTCTCCGGTATAGAGTCACGGGTCCCGGGCTCGGCATACGTAGATTGGTATCAGGTATTCGGGTCCTCTTTCCTGAGTCTCTTGGATAATAACACATGCTCGGCTGTAGAGAGGCGTTGATGCTGGTACATAGGTGCGCCATCTTTTTTAATGCCTCTCTATATAGCCTGGCAGCTTGACATAAGGTGGCAAAACATCTGTAACAGATAACAGGAATATAAAATACCACTCTAGAGCGTTCACGCGAACTCGAAGCCGAGATGTCGAATCCTCGATATTAACTTAGTCATACATCCATACATAACGTTCCTTTTCTTGATATCGACTGTGACTTTACCTTCAAGTGGCAAAGGCCAGCAGGAATTCGATAATGGGATGCACAGGTTATTTATTATTTTAACTATTAATCTAATTTTTGTCTGGTGCATAGGTACATAGGTAGTTTATGTTGCTGATTAATGCTAGGTAATTTATTAGACAACCCTACAACCACACCATCATCAGCTTATCAAGTCGGTATACCATATAGATTACATGCTGCATGTCTTATTAAGCAGGCGTGGTGACGCTTCAACAGCATTAGATTCATAATGTCTCAAAATTTTAACAAACTAGTGAGAGTACCGCGACCTACGACCGTAGAACAATGTGATGAGCTCTTGGCTTCCAATCATCGAGAGATCTTGAACATGATCAGCCAACGGGATAGTAAAGTTGCGGCATGTTTCAGCGTGGTACATGTTGATGAAGTTCGCTGTGTAAACCGACAATCTAGCAGATAAAGATTTAAATGCAGCTTGTGGCTTGATCATCGTAAGATTATGATAAAACGTCATCTATAAATATAAACGTATTCTACATACAGGAAAATAAGCGTAGCCCCTCGCCAGGACTACGTACGCTTTCCAATGATTGTGCTTATCATGCTTATATACATCCCCCCTTTAAGATACCTCAAAGAGGAATACTTCCCGAATACTTCCCGAATTTCCATGCATGAGGCTCTTGTGATTCGCCCCGATATGAACACCATATCGGGCCTTGGAGGTTACCCGGACACGCGTGAACGCAGACCATACCTAGGCATGTATGTCTTGCTTATCGTCTCTTTATGGATACTCGTCGACCAGTACCACAACCTCGGAGCCCAACCGTATCTAACCGATGGCTACCTGCTGTTCAGCTTCTGCGAGTCGAAATGCAGTACGTAAGGAACAGTTTCAGGTGAGGTAACTAAGCTGGTTTACTTATTAGGCGGGTACCTGATTAGAAAGGTCGATGTTGAATAACTAGCGGTTTATATATGTCAAAGGAATAGCCAAGCCAAAGGATCGCGAAGGGCGACAAATGAGCGAGAGGAAATAGCTTATATTGTTGCATCAGCCAATGACTAGATGGACCGTTACATGTTATCGTCCAACAACGATCCAGCAACGAATGGCGGAACTCGGCGCCCCTTCGCTTTACTACAGCACTTCGAGAGATAACTGAGCGAAGCGGAAGCGGTGAAAAATACCATTTGTTTCTTTTTCTCCGTCTTTCCAGCCATACGTGCAGCCATCCCACGTGCCGCTACGACATGCCGCGGGCGAAAAAAAAAAGGGAAAAGAACTTGCAAGGATCAGTTAGGATGAGATGACGGGCAACCAACCCCCCACTGAGAAACCGGTGAGACCTTCGTCCCAAGAACATAGAATCTCCTGTCCAACATACCACTACGGCGTAGGTCGATACGATAGAAGAACAAAGCGTCGAGTCGGCAAAGTAGATACCGTCGCCTGATGTAATATACTTCTTTATAGTTCATGCGTACTGTGCGTACATTAGGTAGAGGACATGAAAGGGGGACCGTGTACCTACATAAGCAAACATATATACATACATACCTACATACATACTATACATACATACATGCCAACCCCTTGCCTCTCATTTGCCCCTACGAGGTAAATGCCTGTCAAATAAGGGTAAAAAGAGCGCCAATTGCGTCAATACCCAACAACAAAGAACAATGACCTACTGACTAACACCCCACGCCCTACACTACCACTACACACATGGCAAATTCACGAAAAGACTCAGATGACGGATATAAGTTTAGATTGCGAAAAGCTCATATGGGATTTCTGAAAAAGCGATATACGACGGCCCAAAGACCCTGGTCTGGAAGGTCAACTGGACTGGACATCATGCGGAAAATGCTAACCCCCAATCCAATCCAATCCTTCCCCGAAGAAACAAAAAAGGCCACGTCTGTCTGTCTGTTTCCCGTCCCAGAAAAAATAAAAATAAAAAAAAGCCCTCCGTGGGGGTGAGATAGGTATCTTTCTATAAGTCCCAGCGTACGAGGGCGAGAAGAAGGAGGAGAGAGAAGGGGGCTAGGCTAGGCTAGGCGGGCGCGACGGGGTAGCGGCCGAGGGGTCGTGGGTTTGTGACGATCATCTATCTTTCGCTTGGGCGTGCTTCGTTCAAGTGTGGTTACACAGATAAGGATGGTTTGGTTCCTCGGACTTCGACTCGCTTGCTCGCTCGGGCGCTGCTGGGGGGGTGTGATGATGGGAATCTGAATTTTCCCATGAGATTAAATCCATGGTCCAGAGCTTTCCGATTTCTTTCGCTGCTACTACTCCTGCTGCTGTTGCTGCTGCTGCGTCCCCTTTTCTCCAATAACCTGGGCCCGTGTAAATTATCCATGCATATATAACGCGCCAGAATAAAAAAATAATAATAATAAGAACAGTAGTAGCGAATGAATTAAAATTCGGTGCGACGAACGGTTGCAACGCCGACCTTGCCGCCCGTTCTTTCAAAGGTTAGGTAAGGTAGGTGTTCTCGAAACTTCTCGGCCGGTATAAAAGCCCCCGGGACTGGATAAGCAAGTTCGCCCGAAGCAGGTAGATCTCCGTCCTGTACCCCTATTTCGACCGGCCGACGGCCACCACTAACTCCCCCCGGTTCTGTTTACACCGCATGTGAAAAAAAAAATATCCATACGGCCAACCTTATCTTCCCATACCAATCCAGCCCGTCCCGCGTCGCCCCATGGGAATCACAACATCTGCATTATTGAACCGCCCAATGTGACTACCAACCAATGTCGTAGGACTTCCCCTCTCGGTCGCACCCGTAGCAACGTCGACCCCTCTGCCAATCATGTCGTGCCCAACGTAGCGCGCTGTCAATCTTCATGATTGATAATAAAAAGACATATCGTATTGCTGAAGGAGGTGAGTGAGTGCCAGCAACCCAAGCTGGAAGCTGGAAGATTTGATTCCTGTCTCCTGACCGGAATTGACGTCTCACTTAACGGCGCATTCCGATGACTTGACTTGTAGCTGTCTTCGACGGTAGTAGATACAGCGCAGACGAAAGGACTGCGAAACATCCTAGCCATGTCAGCTTTCTCAGCACCGTGAACCAGGTACCGGACAAATGAGCAGACATGCTCAGATCCGGAGCGAGCGAAGACATGGGGGGTCTACTGACCGCCATGCCATAACATACTATTCGTCACCAGAGAGATCCAGAACAGCAGTCGAATGAACGGGTAGGCTCTATTCGCGAATCATTGTGCTCGAAACCAAGCTATGTCCCAATGACGAGCAACGCCTACGTACATGTTGCCAACGAGGTCAATCGCCTCCGGTTGACTGCCGAAATCAAATCGTTATTGCAAACGCCGTTTGTGATGCCAAATTCCGTTCAACCCACCCCCTTAATCCAATGGTAGTCCTGATGCTGATGTAAGTCATGAAACGGCAGTGGTATATATAAACTCTTTTTCAACACCGGATTCCCCGTCTTGGTATAAAAATCACAGTACAACTCGTCACCCCCCAATACGTAGCACTGTTAAAACACACTCAGAATCGAAAGATGTCTCCCGTATTAGCCGGGCGGATCATCCCACTGAGAAGAACTACTAAAATCCAGAGGCAACGAGCGGCTACCGAGCTCGGATCTCGTTAGTAAATGTATAGTATAATTCGTCCAAGTCCGGCGAGTTCGAATCTCGGTGCCAGTAGCGATCTAAAGTCGCGAAATCGGTATGGGTATCATAGACGCCGCTGTCGCGATGCGGCGGCCGTTATTTGT